TTTTACACAGGAGGATACCAGCGATATTCCAGTAATGATAAATTATGTAGAACAGACGATAATAAACTGTGCACTATTAGGGTCACAAGTGACATGGTCCTTAGGCAAATAGATAAATTAAACCTAACAAATCCCCAGGCCCTGATGAACTGTATGCAAGGGTTCTAAAGGAATGTAAAGAGGAGCTTAGCACACCTTTGGCTAATCTTTTCAATATATCACTACAAACTGGCATGGTGCCAGATAAGTGGAAAATGGCAAATGTGATACCTATTTTCAAAACAGGTGACAGGTCCTTTGCTTCGAACTATAGACCAATAAGCCTAACCTCCATAGTGGGAAAATTTATGGAATCGATAATTGCCGAGGCAGTTCGTAGCCACCTTGAAAAGCATAAATTAATAAACGAATCTCAGCATGGTTTTACAAAGGGGCGTTCCTGCCTTACGAATTTATTAACTTTTTTCACTAAGGTATTTGAGGAGGTAGATCATGGTAATGAATATGATATTGTGTATATGGACTTCAGACAGGGTCCCACATCAGAGACTATTGAGGAAAATTAAAGCACATGGAATAGGAGGAGAATTTTTTTCCTGGATAGAGGCATGGTTGACAAATAGGCAGCAGAGAGTTTGCATAAATGGGGAGAAATCAGAGTGGGGAAGCGTCACGAGCTGTGTTCCACAGGGGTCAGTGTTGGGCCCCCTGCTGTTCACAATCTACATAAACGACATAGATGAGGGCACAAAGAGCGACATCGGCAAGTTTGGCCGATGACACCAAAATAGCCGCCCAAATTTTATTCTGACGGGGAAACATTCGGCCCCCTCCAGGAAGATTTGAATGACTGTCAGTGGTCGAGAAGGGGCAGTTTGCATTTTTAATATAGAAAAATGCAAATTTCAAAAGTTGGACAAACAAAAACCCACCACCAATAAACAAAAATAATGTAAAATCTTAAAATTACGGTTTGGGCGAAAAAGATTTAGGGGGTTCTGGTTAGCAGTAATCTAAAACCCCAAGCCCAAACAGGGGCATAATTGTTCGCATAAAGCAAATTAGAATCCTTGGCTTAAATAAAAAGAAGCTTAAATAAAAAGTCCCCCCAGGTTTTCTTCAACCTATACATCCTTTGGGTTTTGGCCCCATTTTGGGTTTTATGCTGCCAGTTTTGGTCACCGATTACAGAATGGATTTTAAATTCTCTAAAAAAATGTCCCAAAGGAGGATGACAAAGTTATCCCATGAATCAAAACCCTTTCCCCAATGGGGATAGACTGGGGCCCGAAACTGAAAACCCCCTCTAGAAAGACGTGAATTGGGGGGGAAATGATTGAGGGTAAAAAGGGAAGACAGAAAAAAAAAGGGATGTAAATGTGTGTGAAAATATCTACCTAGACAGGACTCGCGCAAGGGTTTTAAGTTAAAAAATTCAATTCAGGAAGGATATGGGAAAAGTACTGTTTTGGTAATAGAGTTGTGGTAGGGGGAAAAAACTCCCAAGTACCTTTTAAAAGGGGCCAGAACGTTTTGTGCTTTAAAAATAGGTTTGGGATAAATACAGAGTAGTTTGTGGGGGGTGGGGTTAGCCCTGAACTTGTGCTACCGGGTCGGTTGCCGTGTTCCCCCTTAAGCATTGGACCCTTACCTGATAGTTGGGTGCATTGGCTTAAGCCGGTAGGGACTTGGACCTGGCCTCGTGGGGCCTTTAGGTTCTGCAGTGTTCCTTCGTTTTATGTTTTTTTTTTTAACCCTTGGGGGTCACAAAATGCTGAGGGGTAATGTGAAAAACCCTTAAAAAAAGTGAGGAAGGGCGAAAAAGGGTTTTTTTTTTTTTTTTTTTTTTTTTTTTTTTTTGGGGGGGGGGGTTCAGCGAAAGCAAAACTAAAATAAAAGTTGTGCAAGGGGTTAGCTTGTTAAAAATGCAGTCTGCATAAAAGGGCGGGCTTTCAGAAACAATTTAGTGCCCTCGGTTGGTGCGGTTAGTGGAATGAATGCGCTGCATGTAAGCGGGAACCAAATTTTTGACGGAAAAAGGCATCCGAGTCCTCAAGAGTGGTCCCGGTTGTTTCTCACGTTTATGTATGAGTAAGGTCACAATAGAAACCCTAAGGAAGACCCCCAAACCCGACAAGGGTTAAAAGAGGTCAAAAACAAACATGCTTTTAAAATTTTTTTTTTTTGGTGGTGGGGGGGGGGGGAGGGTCTTATGGGGCCCAACTTTGGGCAAGTGGTTGAGGTGGGGGGGAGATTGTTTCCATAAAAGTAGGCTTTAGACGGGAGTGGATGTCCCTGGTTTTCAATGTATTTATAGATGGGTTTTGTAAGAGAAGTAATGCTGGGTTGATGGCAAGAGGTGTGGGATTAAAAAATAAAAAGTAACACAAGGGGGAGCTGTCGCGATCTTTTTTTGATGACAAAGATTGTGGGAGATTCGAAGAGGTTGGGCCGATTTAGGGTAGTAAAAAGAAAAAAAATAAAAGAAATCCTTAAGACGTAAATCTATCAATTCGCCACAATTTTCGCAATTACTAGTGTTTTTGTTGGTATTAAGGGGGTTCAATCTCCCGTAACCTTTAACTAGAATATTTACATATAGCCCCTGGTAAAATTTTTTATACCAAAAAATAAAAAAAGTAAAAGGAAAAACCCCTAAGAAAATCTGGAGGGGCCCGAATGGAACCGTGCACCCGTCGCATTTTACGCCCTGAACTGGGTGTCCAGGGCCCACAAAAGACTTTGTGCTTGCAGAAAATGAGTCAAAGTTAACTAAATTTGGGGAGAACTGCACGAGGGCACGTTACAAACGGTTTTTTTACCTTTGATTTGTTTCGAAGTTTCAAAATCTCGGGACCCCTCGGGGCCCGCTTTCTGCACCAAAGGCTGGCCGTCAAACCCGCTGTTGCGTGGCAGCCCCTGACCCCCAAAAACCATCACAGTCTGGTTATCTGACACCCGAAGGAGGTACTTGTCCAAATTTTTTCCTCTTGAAGACTACTACACTTATCCCACCAGTTTCTGACCGGCGTCAGCATTTGGTATGTTCACAAAAATAAATACAAAATTATACATACACAAATACACAAACAAATACACACAAGGAGGGAGTGGTAAAATCATTGAGACCACATTGCACCTGGGACAATATACACACGACACAGAAGAGGGAATAAAAAGCGACACAAGTTTGCCTGTCACTAAAATTGTTGTGTAAGGTACGGCTGATGCTATAGGTAGGAAAAACTGCAGTAGTAGTTCAGTTGGGACAAATATAAGGTTTTAACCCAGGATAAAGAAAATAACCATGTCACTTCTAAGCTAAATACCCACCCCAGTCGACTAACACCCAGGTACCTAGGTGAACGGGGCAACCGGAGTAAGGAACCTGCCTACTTGCTAGGTGAACAGGAAAACAGGTGTAAGGAAACGCGTCCAATGTTTCAATCCCTGCTGGGAATCGAACCCGGAACAGCATGTGAAACGAGAGCTTTGCCAACGGTCCCCCAGTCGACTAACACCCAAGTACAGTTACCGCTATGTGAACAGGAGCAGCAGGTGTTAGGATTACCATTTCCTAAACCCATAGAAGCTATACATCTGGAAAATGAGCCGTAACTGGGCTCTAATTCTATGGATCAGGACATCTTTAAGTGAGCAAATGTTTCACTTGCTCACGAGGCTCATCCCGCTCGAGACTAGACCCGGGTTCCTTGGCTACCCCTGAGCTACGAGGTACCAGCACTAAAGGGCTGTGTTATCAATAATTTAAACACCGAAGAGTGGACTTGATAGTGTTAAAAATTCCTGGCGGTAGTATAGTTTAACCACAAAATAGTAGTCTTGATACCGTGCAAGTACAACTTCTGACAGTGTGGGTGACATGACGTGCACTGGCAGTTTCCACTTCAGTGGTGGACAGGCGTACTTCTGGTATTAAAGTCCTACCAACTGAGAGGGTTAACAAGATTACAATCTACCTGTGCACTAATACCAGGGATATTTGTAGACATTAAACCAAGCCAGCTCATATACATAATGTACATAACATCCAAGGCGTGGTATTAATATCATACATTTATATATACACGATGTATAATACACCTAGTCAAACATTTCAAGAAAATGGTACAAGTGCAGAGGTTAGCAACGAGACTAGTCACGGAGGTAAGGGGCACGTCCAATGGGGAGAGGATAAGGGAACTCAGCCTGATACACGAAAACGATGAGACTAGGGATGATATAAAGTACAAAACACTGAGAGGGATCAATAGGTTGAATAGGGACATTGAGAGATGGGAAACGGGAACATGGGGGCACAGCTGCAAGTTGATAAAGTTGAGACAGGGATGTTTAGGAGCCATTTCTTCACCCTGAGAGTAATCAGAAGTGGAACGAAGTGGAGAATGACGTGGAAGCGGCGGAACCCACATAGCTTTAAGAAGAGGTACTCTAAAGCCAGGTGAGCCTAGTAGCGACTAAGTTAGAGTGACCAGGAGCTGAGACTCGACCCCTGGTACCACACACACGAGCACATCATATGTAATAGCCGTAGTGTGGGGAGGGTGTGAAGACCAGCCGGCTCCTGCTTCCAACAATACACAATTTTGCAATTTACGTATATAAATACGAAAGGAAGTTAAAATATTTGGAATTTTTTAATGTTTTTGTTAAACTTTCCCCAAAAATAAAATAAAAAATCCCACAGCCGGAACCTCCATTATTATAATCAAGGGGGGAAGCGCTAAACCCAGAGGATTATACAGCGCCTGGGGGGGGGGATGTGGAAGGCATTCAGGCTTAATTCGGGGAACTGAAGCAGATCCAATTCCCTAAATCAAGAGCCCCTCACCAACAACAAGGAACCTTCCTTGAGGGGCCGGAACCTCCAGCTTGAGAAACCCCACAAGTTTCAGTCATTAACGATATCTCTAACAACATAGTTATATCTCTTTCTCAAGACGGTGCATTGTTATTTAGTGAAGATAATCACTACATACCTTGCAGATGCTGTGAAGTGCAGATATTTACGTAACAGGGGAAGATGTGGCACGTTAATTAAGGCCAAAAACGCTACTCTCACAGCAACCAGTTTCCAAGCATATATTAGGTCTAGTATTTCAGTGAAGCTTTACTCGCAGGATAACGAAAGTGAGATAATCTTGCTTTGTCAATGAATATGGTGGGTGTGAATACACAAATTAAGTCACTGGAGAGCAGCAGTTACAGCAACGTGCTCTTCCCTGGACAACTGCGCGCGTACTGCCTGCTGCTGGTGCTGCTGCCCCTCCCCCCTCCTGCTGCTGCTGCTGCGTGCGCACCTCCACCCAACCTCTATTTTGTTTGTTTTTTCTATGCTCTTTATTGATGCCAATAAAGGAATCTTGATCCAAGGAACTAGAGTTATCCTCCTCTTGAATCGAACTAGAATGCCTTCCAGTGATACACATCTATTTACATATAACTAACGTTGCCCCGTGGCCTGGTGGCAAAAGCTCTCGCTTCACACAGTGAGGGTCCGGGTTCGATTCCCAGCGAAGGGGTGGAAACATCGGACGTGTTTCCTTACATCGGTTGTCTATGTTCATCCATCAGTAAAATGGGTACCTGGGTGTTAGTCGACTGGTGTGGGTCGCATCCTGGGACAAAACTGATCTAATTTGCCCAAAATGTTCAGCATAATAAGCGGCTTTCTATATAATAGTATGCCACTACATGTACTTGTAGTAAATAAAGATATTATTATTATTATTATTTATTCATTATATACTCATTGAATCAGTTTTAGTGTGCATACATTTATTGTCCTTGTATACACTATTGTGGAGAATTGAATTTACCTGGGGATGTAACTCATAAGATACATACCAGTAAATGGTAACAAAGATAATATTCTTTATCAAGGTTACAGAGACAAGCAGGAATTTTAGGACACCTAGGTCACAAAAAATGTCCTTCGATACCTACCATATTATTATTATTATAATCAAGGGGGAAGCGCTAAACCCGGAGGATTATACAGCGCCTGGGGGGGGGGGGGTGGAAGGCATTCAGGCTTAATTTGGGGAACTGGAGCACAGATCCAATTCCCTAAATCAAGAGCCCCTCACCAACATCATATAATCTATCTCTCCACAAGTCACTCTTGACCTATATTAATTTCAAATGAAATATACATCACCAGGAATTCTGGTAAAAACATTAATATAAATATGTGGACTGTATATTAAATTTAAAATGTGAATACATATACAATGAAGGAGAATTTATAATAATTAGACTCACCAATTAGTCTGGAGATTACGGTGTGTCATACCAACCCCCCTGCCTAAATTTATGAAAAAAATACTGGCCAGAATTCCAACGTAAATAGACATGACTTAGCTGGGGTTCCTGGACCGTCCTGCCCATTCGCCTAATGTTCACGTTATGCAGGACTGCAAATCCAACAATTTCGGCTCCTATATGAAAGGTTTTAAGCCCAATATAACCCCTAGAGCGACGAAAATTCTTCCGATTTTCACTAACGTTTGTCTCGGTCAATTCAAAACATGGCGACTCCCCCATGCTCGTCAGCGCAGGCGCAGAGCTTCCCTGTCGGTTCTCTTCTTTAAAATACACTTTAGAGCAATAGTAATGTATTAATCAGGTATATTTACATTATAAGAGAAACTTTTGTTTTCCTTTTTTGGGCCACCCTTCCTCAGTGGGATACGGCCGGTTTGTTGAAAGACAGAAGATTTACATTATAAAAAATATACAGTATAATTTTGGGAAATTATTTTCCACAATTATATAATGTTAATTGTCCCCGTAGTTTAAAGTTAGGCTTAAGCTTTCCCGAAATGCTCTACACATGACATGGCTGTGGTTTGTACGTCGGTTTACCTGCGGCCAACAGTAACAGCCTGGTTGATCAGGCCCTGATCCACCATGAGGCCTGGTCACGGACCGGGCCGCGGGGGCGTTGACCCCCGGAACCCTCTCCAGGTATACTTCAGGTATAACCATGAATATTCTACATGCATTATCAAATGTCATCCATTTCTGTACAAAGTATCCTGTGGAAATAAATTTTAAATTTGAATTTGAACACGGGTTTAGCTCTTCTCGAATAGTCCTGGCTAGCAATATACCCAGGTATATATCCTCTTGTCTCCCTTCCCAGAGTACGGGCTTTATTATAATAAAAAAGAAGCGCTAAACCTACATTATTATCGCCTATCTCGGTGATTATAATGTATATTTTTGTGTATGAAATTATTTGAAATAATGTGACTGAGTGGGCAGTGTGGCAGCCAGGACGGCAGACTGGATTATAACTCCACTAAACCAGACTTGAGATATAATTAACTACAATAGGTATAAATTGTATGTCGACAGGTTTTTTGGAAAAAGCGAGATTGCAAACACTTGGGCATTAGGAGTGACCAACGTAGCACCAAAATTTTCCAAACTAGTGTTTACGATTTGCGTTTTTTCCAATAAAATGCAATAAACACATGACACAATACTGATTCGGATACGTAACTGTGAGGTAATGACTACGACCATCACGTTATTAAAGGTCGTCGTCATATTGAATTTCATATTAATCGGGGGAAGCGCTAAACCCATATGGGTCATATATCACCTGGGAATGGCAGGCAACCAGGTTCGATCCAAGGAAGAGAATAATTCCTTTCTCATGGATCAAAAGCCCCCCCTCCCCTCCAGCATCAAAGCACTTACCCCCTTTGAGGGTATAGGACATCAGAATTGGGTTAATTTCTGGTGGTACTGAAGAATCATATAACGTGATAATTGTTTATAAAGACTTGTGTTCATATAAAATAACACGATGGTTAAAAAGATATACGTAATAAAATGCGACTCTTTATTGACAACAGTGTGGGCAAAACATCGCCAAACTACGATCGTATTATAATGTATTTGTGTCTCTTTTACAGTCTTTTATAACATTTTTAGGCGCATCCGTTGACAACCAAATTTCTTCAAATTACTTTCAATAGGTAAGTTCCTAGTTCCTAGTTTTTGCGCTACCCTCCACAGGATGGCTATGGGGTGCACAGTAAACTAGCTAATTTGGTGGCAAAATCTAAATCTAATCTATTTCCGATCAGCCAGACTGTGGTTCATTAGACACAAGTGCAACTCTTGGGTATCTTTATTGAGGAAACGTTTCGCCACACAGTGGCTTCATCAGTCCATACAAAGGGGAATCTTGAAGAACAGGAGGAGAATGAGGTAATCAGTCCCTCAACCTTGAGTCGATGTGGTCAGCCCATCAATCTTAAATAGAATACAGCATATGTGCCGAGAAGCAGCTTATATACCGTAGGCAGGAGAGGTGCAGCAGACATAGGTGGTGTCACATTTGTTCAATGTGGAAGTAGGTCGTGCCCAAGGGTTAGGCAAGCGAAGAATTCCCAAGTCTGACAGGATTGCAGATGAATGGTTCAGAGTACCGACACGTTGATAAATTAGACACAAGTGCAACTTGGGAATTCTTCGCTTGTCTAACCCTTGGCAACGACCTACTTCCACATTGGACAAATGTGACGCCACCTACGACTGCTGCACCTCTCCTGCCTACGGTTATAGGCTGCTTCTCCGCACATATGCCGTATTCTATTCAAGACTGATGGACTGACCACATCGACTCAAGATTGAGGGACTGCTTACCTCATTTTCCTCCTGTTCTTCAAGCTTCTCCTATGTATAAGCTGATGAAGCCACTGTGTGGCGAAACGTTTCCTCAATAAAGATACCCAAAAGTTGCACATGTGTCTAATTTATCAACGTGTCGGTTCTCTGAACCATTCACCTGCAATCCAGACTGTGGTTCGTACAACGGACTGTTTACTGGCAGGAATAACAGCCTGGGTTATGAGGCCTTGATTCAACCAAAGGTCTGGCCTGGCACCAGGCCCCGGGGGCGTCGACCCCCGAAAAAATCTTGCAAATATCCATCAAGTATCTAGATAAACACCCAACTTATTCATTACACAAATACACTAACAAAAACAAGAAATTGAACTTGTGGCTAATTATCCACAAAAATTCGTACACAAACATATTTTACAGAGAAAGTAATCTTCACTAAAATTTGTATAGTATCATTAAATAGGAAACAGGAACATACATGAATATTAAGGTTTATGGCTCATCAGTTATAAATAACATCAAAGTTGTAATCTACCCCAAGGCTTTCAAGTGCCATGTTCTTATAATGTTGAGGAAATAAGTTGAACTGTAAGTACACTTACTGTATGTACACTTACATACACTTACTGTAAGCACGTTTGTATACACTGTATGTACACTTACATACACTTACTGTAAGCACGTTTGTATACACAATACACTTACATACACTTACTGTAAGCACACTTGTATACACTTACTGTATGTACACTTACACTTACTGTAAGTACACTTGTATACACTTACTGTATGTACACTTACATACACTTACTGTAAGTACACTTGCATACACTTACAGTGTGTACAGACTAATAAGAACCCATGACAACAACATAAATAAGACACTGAAAAAAGCATAATTTTACTCTGACATAAACATTATAATTAAGGTAAATGAACTACGGAATGTGTCATCATCCACACAAGCTTACAACACTAACCTCAACTCATACATATTAAAACATGCGCTAAAACGTGCCAGTACTGCAGTCATTGATCACATTACAGAAAAACTGACCATCTACTTAAAACTGTCACTTATGAACATTATCAGACTGAAGACATATGACTCCTACCACATATCACACTGTAATGTAATCAACATGTCGCACATTATAAGTGTACATGTTGATAAATTAGACACATGTGCAACTCTTGGATATCTTTATTGAGGAAACGTTTCGCCACACAGTGGCTTCATCAGTCCATACAAAGGAGAATCTTGAAGAACTGGAGGAGAATGAGGTAATCAGTCCCTCAACCTTGAGTCGATGTGGTCAGTCCATCAATCTTGAATAGAATACGGCATACGTGCGGAGGAGCTTATAAACCGTAGGCATGAGAGGTGCAGCAGTCATAGGTGGTGTCACATTTGTTTATCATATGTCGGTTCTCTGAACCATTCATCTACAAAAGTGTACATGTATACCGATTTTTTTAACTTTTATTTAATTACACCTCAATACACTGACAAAAATCAAGAGATCAACCTAGCCTATCACTTATATGTGGCAAATTGCAATAAAAAATATGTACTACGCTTTACAAGACA